CTTGCAAGCTGGGCCTCATCATCACCATCCACCTACTGCGATTCAGTTTATTTTACTCTTTGCAGAGATTCAATTCTTCTGTTTGCAGAAGCCCATTGTCTCCAAGATGGGTGCTACAGTGATCTGGCTAGCCAACAAAATGGAATATATAAGGCTGACAAAATAGCTGTTAAATAGTTAGTGTTCGTCACAGAGGAAGACTCAGAGATTCTGTTTTTGTCAAACCAAAATTGTTATGTTTGTTATTATCGGGGAAAGTTGATGGTTGATTCCCATTTGGTTACAATGCACGTCTAGTTGGCAGCATACAGGTGGAAAGAAGCCAAGTTTTATAGCGAGATGACTGTTTGGTAACAGATGTCTAATGTTTCCCAACACATTTAGGTCATGTGATAGGAATCATGAGCTAGCTTAGCAAAGCTGAGCAGTTGGGTAATTACAAACCTTTGCTCATGTCATTTTCTCATTCCTTCTTTTTCAGCTGCCTAGTTAAGGTTATTCCGATTTTTGTATTTATAATGTGGGAATTACAGCTTGAAATATGATTCAGCGTAATAACGGTCCTACGAAGCAGTCGTTTATTTAAATAGTTGGGAAGTTCCAGCAGCGTGTGCAAAAGCCACTTGTTTTCCTCACCCACCCTGCATAGCAGGAATTGTCCAAATGCTTACAGCGTAGTTCAAGAGCTGCTCCTTCAAAGTGATGGGAAAAGTGTACGGCAGTATTTACTCGTTGTTCCCTAGATAACTCTAGTTTCTCGTATGGGACTGAAGAAGTCCCGTTAGAGTGCTATGGGAGTTGGCACCTTGCTTCCCTCTCAAGCTCTTGAGGAAGTCTCGGCCTTATTTTTAAACGCTCTTTAGTAAAGGAGGAGAGCAGGTGATTTGCAAGGATATTTGAGTTACAAAGCACAGACCTGTTGTTGTTCTTTCCTGTTTGAATCATTTAATAGTTTGAAAAGTTCTCTGTGTCTGTTCTTTTTTGCATTTTCAGCTGTCGCGTTCCTGGCCTTCTGGCCTGCGCTATCTGCGGCAAGAAGCGCAATTGCCAAAATATCGCAAGAGGGACTCTTTCCAAATTATGTCTAATCCAACTAGAGTCAGAAAATTCCAGAAACTGCAGTATGGCAAGTTTGTCTGAGATTTGCTCAGCGGCTCCAGAATTTCCCTGAATTAAATTACGAGCCTGATCCGCTTTCACTCCTCTGGGTACTGAATCAAGCCTCAGAACTTGCCTGAGATGCCTTCCTAATACACCTCTTGCATATCAGTCTAGGAACCTGAAACACTAATATTTTAATTCACCAACTCTTCCAGAAGTCAAAAAAATCTTTTTTTTTTCTTTTTTTTCTTTTTTTTTGAAAAATCGCGGCGCACTGGTATACAGCTGCATGTTTAGAATATAACTCCTTTTTCGTTAGGCTGCTAAGCACCAAATGGGAACAGACTCTGGTATCTGACAAGTGGCTCCCGTGAGGAGCGTTCCCTGCTCTGACACACGTATTCTTCCCACAGGGCGCTAAGTTACTTCCGCGTGGGCAGTACGTCAGCTTGCACAAGCAAAGTTGTGGCCAACTTGTCTCCACCGTTCATCCTATCTCTATTCTCTTCCCAGGGAGTAGCCCAGGTGTCCTCTGCACTCCTGCAGCTTGAGTCGGTCTCCTTAACCTGTCCCAGAATCGAACGTATTCCTATAGAGATACCAACTTTAATCATTAAATTTTTGTATTTCTTTGGACTGCTCTCCTCATCCCTTGGAAGGATGCCTTTGATTTTGGAGAGCGATGTTGGAATTAAAGGACTGATTCTCGCCCATAGCACAGATGATGAAGTAAAGATGTCCCGTATCTTTTTCACTCGAAGTCTGTAGAAAGACCATCTTGAGTGCGGTGTGTTTCCTGGTTGCAGAATGAAAGTGAGAAGAACAAGGAGCACACGATCCAAGATCTCAATAGTTTCTGTTTAGAGAGCGCCCCACAAATTAAGCAAGCTACGTAAAAGTTGGTAAAGCTGGGTTCCTATTCTAAATTTCAGGCTGATGATCGTGACCTGATTTCCAATTCATGGAATTACGTAGGAAGGTTTGCCCTTTGATATTTTTATTTAAGCAACTTCAGAAACGTACTCATAGGCTTTCCAGGGCCGAGATGTGTAACTCCTGTTAGTTGTATTGCTCACGCTGGCTTTCAGATCAAAGTGCACCATTCTCCCATTAACCTTCAGATAAATCTAAATGGACTGCAAGTAATGCACAAGACTGAGCAGATTTTAAGAATTGATGTGAATGCTCTGTGACAGAATTTGACCATAAATTGTGTGCCTTTAGACAAAATAAGGATTTTGTCCTTTTATCGCAATTTGATTTGGAAGTAGATTTTGACCTTTGTAGCTGGGAACACAACAATATAGATTTGATGGTTGTTACCAAGCATGTGATAGGCTTGCATGTTTTTTACACACACTTTTGTTTCACTGTATATTTTCTAGATTTCTTTTGTTTCTAAGATGCCTGCTGCGCAGTGTGTGGAGAACTGGAGCCAATTTGCTTTACAGCCTTCATTGCACTTGTATGTAGTGACTACACATAAACAGTCTAACTCAGAGAAAGAGTTGGCCAAAAGATTTCCAAAAAACCCAATCAAAGTAGTGCCGTGGTTACCTTTTTTAAAGAAATAGTAAATTTGCAGACATTTACCTGAGACAGGCCCACTTGGAAAGCCATCAGCTTTCACCTTCTGTGGCTTGACACGCAAGAACACAAAGAACTTGTGGCTGCAGCAGGAGATCCTGGGTCCTCGCAAACTTGAGGATTTTAAGGAGAATTGGTAGCTCTTCCGGGAGTCAAGAGTAGCACCCTCTTTGTCTTTCCAATACTGTGATGTTTTTTATCTGGTTTTGTCCCCTTCTACGTAATTTTTTTAGGACTCTGCAGTCTTTCAGGATAAGAAATTTTATAGGAGAGAGTTTTTTCCTCGCCTTCCCTGTGTGTCTTTGAAAACCCTAGCTGTCCTGACGTACTGGCATTTGGCACGTGTCATCCCCTCTTTGCTGGAGGGATGCAATCCCCTTCACTTAATGCCGAGCTTTTTGGCTAGAAGTTTCGCATCAGTTGTTTCACCGTTGAAATTTTTCATGTTGGGATCTCGACTTTCTAGTAGTCATAAATCATTAAGTGTACCTAAATGGTCAGGAAAGCCAAAGATAAATCATACACTGTGTATATATTTAGCATGAAGATTAGACCCATCTCATTGCGCTGTCACCCTTGAAATGATGTGCCTTTTGTGATTTAGAAGGGAACTTGTAAATATGTCTTTCATTTAACAGAATTTTTTTTTTTCTGGTTACCAGTTTATGTGCACCTCATGATTAGTATAAAATGATCAATAAGCAACTGTGTCACACAAGGTTATTCCAAGTTCGAAGCAGGTGCAGTACTGATTAGTTTCCAAAATCAGATGCAGTCAGACTGCTGTGGCCATAGGAACAAGGTCACTGAGAGGATCGGGTGACAGTATAAATAATAAAGCACAGCTTAACTAATTTGTCGTCAGTACCCCCGAATAAAACAGAGCTTTATTGCATCGTCTCTTGGGCTTTCTTATGGGACCTTTCGCCTTTCTTGACACCTTTTTTTATTTTTCTTCTTTACCCTCGAATTGTTTTTTCTTTCCACTTCCCTCGCAGTGTCATTTTGATTTTCAGTAGAATAAAGAAGGTGGTTTGAAGGGAGTAAGTCACTAAATCAGTTTCATTCCATTATTGAATTAGATTATTAGCTACAGAGACAGACATGACAGATTTGATCCATTAAAAAGATAGATAGGTGGATATGTGTGTTTGATCATTGCAAACGCTATGATATTTTATCTGTTCTGTAGCATAAACTGGGCTCACGCGAAGCACGTGATGCTCGGGTGAAATAGCGCATTATGATTGCGGTTAATTGCAAAGCATTATGGATATAATTAAATATTGAAAATTGTGCGCTTCCAAGCCAGTTCCCCCTTTACACCCTGCATGCCTTTTTCCATAACCCTGTCAGTGTTTCCTTCCCCCCACCCCGTCTCCAATACAAGTCTGTATCACCAGTGGCCAAAGGTTGTACATGCACAGGGGATTCTCTGGCAGCTGAATGTCAGACGTTATTGAGTGGGTGGATCCTGTTCATCCATTTCCCTTCTGAGCCTTTCTAAAAATACCGTAAACCTTGACAAGGAGATAGTTTGGAGGAATCATATTCATGAGTATATTCATGGGAAGCTTATTTTGGCAGGCTTGCATGTTAGATTTGCATGCTTCCATAGTTAAGGGCTTGGCGAACTTCTGTCACAAGCCAGTTGCACTTGGGTAAAGAGAGACCATCTGGATTTTGGGACCTACTGGGTTGGAATTTCTGCTCCAAGTGAGTGTATAGCAGGAAAAGAAGCGAAGATATTCTTGTAGGAGTGTTAATATGTGACTGAAATCATTCATTTCAGGCATTTGCACACCAGCCCTCAGCTTATCGGATCTAATTTCATAAAACCTGGCTGTGATTTCTCTCCAGGGACCTTAATGATCTTGCCATTTTCAATAAACATTTATAGAAACTACTGCCAGCCTGTGGATAAGAGAAACTTATATGAGAGACTTTGTCTTCCAAAAATACTGAAAGACAAAAAAAAACCCACCCACTCTTCACAAGAAGATCAATAGAAAAAGTCAAAATGTAGCATTCGCTTGGTAGCTGGAGCTGAATTGCAGTACCAGACATTTGTACTGTAGGCAAGCAGGAGGTACGTTTGCTTTTCTCACTTTGGAAAAAAGTGCAAATTGGAGTTGCGCTATAATTGGGACCAGCAAAACTATGGCGTGTGAATAAAAGCAAACTGTAAGAGATAAGATGGAAATTAAGCAGGTAAACGCTGTTCCACGCTCATACCATTCGGGTACAGTATTGCGCAGTACTCATGTTTGCAAGTCTAAGAAATTTCCATTTTTTCGCATAAAAAAATCCAGATATGAAGCCGAAGCTGCCTTCTTCGCCAACCTGAAACTGTCTGATTTCAACATCATTGACACCCTTGGAGTTGGAGGGTTTGGACGAGTTGAACTGGTAGGTAACCTTTTCTTTTCCTTTGACGTTTGTGTAATGTCCCGGGAACAAGTACTATGTTGCCAATTTTTTCATTTTTCTTCATTATTATACCTGAATTACTGGAAGAGAAGTATGTGACAGGCTTCTAAATTTTCTAATGGTTGAAGAAAGCTGCGTTGTCTTTCCAGGAAAATAAAAATACATTAATAAACCGTCTGCTGTAGTCCTAAAGAATTTATATACTAGGCTGAGAGAGGAGCATACGTCTTCTCTCTCCAAGGGGTCTTATAGTGAAGCAGTACTTTTTATGAGATTGGTTGCCCTTTAACAAAAACCTGAAGAAATTGTGGTGGGGTTGAGTGATGAGATTGAAAGAGCAGCCTAAAATCTTAATTTGCCAAAACTGGAGTAATGGTCCAGTGTCTGCTGTAGGCAGTTCCTAATTCAGGTGTAGAGATCGATCTCCTCCTTGATTATGAAGAAAACTGTAGATTGCGTATCTGAATTACAGTACTAGTTCACAGCAAGATGCTTATTGTTTGCAGAATTTTGACGAAAGCGTGAAATCTGAGCCGTTGTGTGGCCCGTTTGTAAAACTGTATGAATACAAAAACTTATAATAGAAAGAGGGAGCTTAGTTTACATCACTGTGCTGAGCAAGGAGGAGTTTCTGAAACCGGACACCAGTACAGTATGTGAGGAACTCCTTTAAGTTAGGGGCAGAAAAGTAAACAGAGTTACTGCTGCCATCACAAAAGTTACAGGAAATCCCCACTCCGTAACAGTATAGAAGCCAAAAGGACCTTTTTGCATTATCCCTTTATTCGCTGGGACCTTGAAAACCAGCAAAAACAACCGGTTTGATCATTGCTTGTGACGTAACTGGTAAATTCTATGTTTAAACTGCGACTCAGTCCTGCAGTTGCTTTATTTCTGCCTTTTCCTATTTGAAGGTTATTTAAAATCATGCAGAGGAGAGCAGACCAATGAGGACTTTGATCCCTTCCTGTGTGATGGTGTTTTTTGTTTTCCACTAGCAGCTGGTGCTTTGGAAGATAGTCACAAGAGTTCAGCTGTAGCCGGGGAAGGTGTCCTATCCCTGCTCCTTCTGTAGTCAGTGGAGAGAGAGGGTCTCCTGTCACGGATGCTCTAGAGCAAGAGCCTAATTTGGGATACGCTAAATAAATTGGATTGCGTTACTGAAGGCAATGAGTCCTCCAGCTCGGACTGCTTTCCAAGTTAACGTGGAAGCTCTATGGCGTTAACAAAAGCAACGGGGTTGAAACCTTGGCCAGCTTTGAGGAACAGCACGAACGGGACACGTTCTCTCATTTAAGCGTGTCAGATGACAGGTAGAAATATATAAATCTTAGACTTAGTAATTTTAGAAGCCTGCAGGAAGCCCTGGGTATTAACCTAAGCAGCCTGCAGAAGGCTACAGGTGGCAGGACAGTCTTCATCACCTTGTAGGGGGTTTCTGCAGTGGTGAGTTCAGAGGTTCCAAGCAGGGGAATGCTGGTTAAGGTCGTTTTCTGGGTAAATGATAAGCATAGTGGTGAATCAGACAAGGAGCCTTCTGCTTTCTAGTCAGCTTACACCATTTCTCATATTGGTTTCCTGTTGTCATTTTTTTTATCGGTGACATCAAAGTTATTCACGTTGTATGATTACAGTTATTCCCATTGCTGGGCCAGGAAGAAATGATCCTGCCGAGCGGAGGAAGAGGTGATAAGAATAGAAGCGTTTTCTCTCGGGAAAGGTGTTTAGAAAATCAGCAGGGATTCGACTGGGAATCGAAGAGGAGGAATGCAGGGAAACGTAAAGGCTTGCTGGTATAATCTACAAAAGCACTTTTTCAGCTACTGCACCTAAAGTGAGCCTGATAAAAATATGCATTTAGTTCAGAATCAACAGGAGAGCTAAGTATGCAAAGAAAATCTTAGGGATCAAATTTAAATAGCCAGGATTTTTAGTTACTTAGGAAAAAAAGTTGTATTATGTCACTGACTAGTCATATCTTCCTGCTCGAGAGACTGTATTTCTTCAGGTACTGAATTACACACAGAAGGATAGAAGATATTTTAAAGTTTAGCCTGACGTTCTTGATTTCATTACTTTTCTTTACCGCTGGGGAAAACTATGTTAATGTTCTCTGGTCTTTAACGTTTTAAAAAGCTAAGTACCTTTCAGAGTTGCCTTCTCAGGGCTGAGTATTGGCAAGTGAGATTGTTATTAAAGCAAGGAAAGATTATTTTCATCAAAATTGAGTATAAATTGCTTCCTCTTGCTTCTGTCTTCTTTAGAAAAATATATTTCATAATTTCAGGCAAAAAAATGAACTTAGGCAATATGTATCAGAGGAACTGACTCTTTTATTACCTTACTGTGTCATGGTAGCCCGCTAGTGCACAGCAGCGTTGAAGTTTGTTTCCAGTTATTGCACTTTCCTCGAGTAAAACTGGTCAAATGAGCAAAGCGCATTGCAAGGAAAAGACTGTTCTTAGCTTAACCTTAGCTTCCAGTCACAACCTAACTCAGCGCCTCGGCACATCTTCATACCCTTCAAGAGGGTGACTGGTGGTGTCTGGTTAGAAACTGGAATGTCTAGGGTTTCGTTTGGATCTTGCTAGCCACGGATGAATAATGCTCCCTTTTGCCTGTGTTTTAATTTTCAGATGTGGTTTGTATAAATGTAAGTTGGTATTCCAGACACCTTTGTGAAAGCTGGTTGTTTTGAGAGTTGGTCCCTTGGATGAATGTAAATACAAGTGCATGTCTCTTGGGTGAGACAGTTATTTAAATAATTTTCTGCTCTATGCATATTACACATGGAAACGTCTTTTTGTCTTGGTTTTGCTCCCGTGACAAAAAGCTTACGCATACAGTCTTTTGTGGTGACAAATCGTAGTGCGTGTCTGAACGGGACCTTTCCTAGGTCATTTTATTTTCTATGCATGTCAAGAGACTTTTTCAACAGGTTTGTGTATGCTCAATTTTTTTACATGGTTTGCTCAATTTTTATGGCTAGTTGATGCCCATTATCTCGTGCCTTGTCATTATGGAGGTTGTTCTCCTTCGTCGTCGTTACCTGGACTTCCTCTGTAGTCGGCTTTACCAGACTACTGTTGGAGGGATGAAACAGATGACTTGCTATGTTTTCACGTGGTGACCAGCTAAGCAAATATTTAAAAAGTGGCATTTTTCAGTCGGGCACAAACCACGCTAAGTTTATACGCTTCTGTCAAAAAGCCACCTTCTGTCTTCCTGACTGTGTTGCAGTTAGCTATGAAAATATTAAACTAACATGAAAATATGCAAGAAGTAGCTTTTCCATGTGCTACCCCTGGAAAAGAGTACGCATAGTCATCTTTGGACAGCTTGTCAGCGCTTCACTCCCTGCATAACTGTCCAGTTTCTGTAGCTCCAAAATCATGTTTATAAAAACAGCAGCTGGCCTGAGACGGATAAAATAAAGGCATTTCTTCACTTACAGGGCGAGCGGTGTGATCCCGATCCTCAGCTTTTAAAGAGTAAACAGGCAGGCTGGAGCAGACCGCGGTCTGCCCCGGGAGAGACGGTGCTACATTCCTAGAACCACCCTCATAAATTGCTGGAGAGTCTGCCAAGTAGGTGCAAGCTACTCCAGGACGTGTCTCCCTGTGCCTGCTCTCCGGCCCTTGGCCGCCTCCATTAGCATGGGAGAAAGCAAATAGCGCGCCTAAACTTCTTGTTCTGAGTAACGGATGTATCCACAATTTTTTGCTCAGGTGACCTTGCTACTTAGGTTCTTCTCCAGCGCTCATCAGTGTGGTGTCTGGGCATTCATCCTTCAAAGGATGCTCCCAGGTGTGCTTTCACGCTGCATGAAGGGCAGCTCCCTAAATAGATAGGAATGATACTGACTCATACAAAGTCTATTAACATATATACATATATATGAGTTTTTCCCTGAAAAATATTTATACAGCTGTCTAATGTTGTAAAGAGACTCTTCTCTATGGGAGTAGAAAGAACAGAGCCAAAGGCTTATTGCACATTGCTATGGCTTTAGCATGCCCTTTCCCAGGCAGATTGACTGCAGGCTGAGCAGGTGATACGAGCCTCCGCTTACTTGACCTTTATTTTGGTAGCTGGCGTTTGATCTTCAGAATTTATAGTAGTGCTCCTTACAGGGTTTCCTCCTGCCGCTCATTACCTAAGAGCAATAGCAGCAGCCCCGTTTGTGTTTCAGTAGCCCCTGTGATCCAGGTGCCTCGGTAATATGTTGCGATAGTGAATGAATGTGTCGTCTCGGGTTCATATCCTTCAGAGCACCATTTTGCAGAAAGCTTTCTGTGATTCTGTGTGATTCTGTGATAGAGATGCTGGTCAGGTGGCCCAGACCTTCACAAATCGTCTCTTCTCAACTTCATTTCTCTCGTCTTTGTCCTTTCGTTAGCTTTTAATTTAAACTCATATGTTTCTAATCACCTGCCCCAGGTCAAGTATTTTGGATTTAAATAAGGATTACTTTAGACAGCTCTGAAATGAATGTAACAGAGTATCTGAACATACAGGGTTAGACTCATTGTGGCTGCGGAATCGGTTCATGAAAATGATGGCTGGTCACACGTAGGCTAAAATTCACCATCGCTGACCACATGTCTTTGTTATATTGCCTCATGCAGTTATCACTTCCAGCTATCCCGCTGAGCCGGGGCAATGAGAAAAGATTTTAAACTCCCATAGCTTTTACAAAATTGCAAGAATAATATTATAACTTCTTCCCCCCCCCTCCCCCCATCACCACCTTGTTTGAGACTATTTCAGTTGATGGTCTCTGTGCGCTGTTCAGGCGTGATACGCCAGTCAAAACCAATAGACTTTTCCTCTGTCCCTGCACATAGGCAAGTTAGGAGGGAGCTATTCGTTGTGCGCTGCTGTGGGCAACATACGGCCAAGGACTTCCTGAAGGCAGCGGTATCTGAAGGCAGATTAAGGACAGCCTCAACGTTTAGCCCTTA